AAAAAAAAAAAAAAAAAAAAAAAAAAAAAAGTGAACCCTACACTAAAAGCTGCTCTGGTCCCACACAGCAAATCTTCAAAGCAAGACTCAAAAGTATCTGTCCCCAGTAATCTAACAGCATCCCAGAACAGAGCTCAAAAAATATGTCTAGGAATACAAAGATACCCAGCACCCAGGGGAAAAGGCTCAATGTCTGACACTGAAGAAAAAACTACCAGGGATACAGAGCAGCCAAATCCAATCCTTAACCAGGAGAAAAGTTCATCACTGAAAGGCACGCAGATTGGAAAGGAAGAAGCAAAACTGCCTTTATTCTGAGAAAACATGATCAATGATGAACATCCAGCGGCATCTACCAAAGAGCTACCAGAATATAAGTGAGCTTAGAAAGGCTGCAGGATGCAACACCTTTTACAGGGAGCTAACTCCTTCTAACTAAAGGCCTAAATGACTGTCCTAGCACTGTTTCTTCACTGATCTGAGACAAGGCCAGTAAGCCACAAAGCTCCTATTCGAGTGTTTCTCGGTTGCTTGCTCTTGTCATACAAACCCAGTTTTTAAAAAATTTTTACCGATAGGGAGGGGGAAGGGTGAGGTGTGATAGGGCGAGAGAGAGACATGGACATATATATACTAACAAACGTAAGGTAGATAGCCAGTGGGAAGCAGCCGCATGGCACAGGGATACCAGCTCGGTTCTTTGTGGCTGCCTGGAGGGGTGGGATAGGGAGGGTGGGAGGGAGGGAGACAAAGAGGGAAGAGATATGGGAACATATGTATATGTATAACTGATTCACTTTGTTATAAAGCAGAAACTAACACACCATTGTAAAGCAATTATACCCCAATAAAGATGTTAAAGAAAAAAATTTTACCGAGGAGACCCAGTAGTGACAAGGATGTGAGAAAACAGCATTCTGGTGGGAGGGTACACTTTCTGTACAATTTGGAGAGCAATTTCACACACTGCAGCGTGAGAGCTTTACATATTTAACCAATTCCACCTCTTGTAGTCTATCTTAAGAAAACAATCATTCAGGCAAAGCTCTACATACAAGCATTCCACTGGATCATTACCTATATAATATGGCAAAAATTGAAAATAATTTATATTGTATCTTTTATGTACCCATTCAATAATGCTTTTGAAGAATTTTTAGCAAAAGGTTCATGTTAGATGAAAAATATGAGGAAAAATGCTAAACTTGCAAAATATTATCACTGTTACACACTTACTACATAAATACCACTATGAAACTAAGAAAATATTCCAAAATGTTGACAGTAGTTAATACTGAATGACACACAGGACCTATCCTCTTCCATTTCTTAAACTGTCTTCAGTTGCGCTATACTACTTGAATATCTGAATCACAGAACCTCCCCTCCAATTTAAGGACAGAGGCAAGAATATTTAAAGGTGCTGTAGTTGAAAATAAAGTCAGACATAGCATCGTAGCTCAGTTTCTTTTTTTTTTTTTAGAAGAGGTTGGGGGTAGGAGTTTTATTAATTAATTAATTTATTTTTGCTTTGTTGGGTCTTCGTTTCTGTGCCAGGGCATTCTCTAGTTGTGGCAAGCGGGGGCCACTCTTCATCGCGGTGCGCGGGCCTCTCACTATCGCGGCCTCTCTTGTTGCGGAGCACAGGCTCCAGACGTGCAGGCTCAGTAGTTGTGGCTCACGGGCCCAGTTGCTCCGCGGCATGTGGGATCTTCCCAGACCGTGGCTGGAACCCGTGTCCCCTGCATTAGCAGGCAGATTCTCAACCACTGTGCCACCAGGGAAGCCCCATAGCTCAGTTTTATTTTCAGTAGTTAAGAAACATTTAAGCACCAAACAAAGCAAGTGAACCCTCAGCACCCAAGGGCCAGTACAGGCAAAAGATGAGGCTCCCATAATAAAGTGGCAACTACTACAGAAATCACTGCCCTAGGAGGGATGCACTGTCTAGGAAGGGACACAAGTATAGACCTTAATCCCCTTCTCTAGCCCTGGCTTAGCGTGCAACAGGGGGCCCAAAGCGCTGCATGGTCCGTATCACCAGAGAAAGCTGGTCAAGAAAGTTGACGATGGAAATTTGGAGGAGGTGGGAATCTTCAGCTCTCCAGTGGCTAAAAGTGATGGAAAAAGAAAATCAAGGTGATGGTAGCAACCCCTCCAGTCCCTCCCTGGCTCTGCCCCTCTATGACACCGAAGCCGCTGCCATCTCCATTGCAGTGCCCGCTGGGGTGGAGATGGGTCCAGTGCACCGCGTCACCTCCCTAGATCCAACCCTGGAGTATCTCCGAGTCTCCAATAGAGCGCCCTTGGGGGAGACTGGCCCGGCCACCTGCTGCCCTTTCTAGAACTTACACTGCCAGGACGCTGCCGCTTACTGTGAGCTCCTTCCCAACAGCCCCATGGTGCAGTTCGGCGTCTGGGGCCAGGGACCCACGGGCGATCTCTGCCTCCAAGGTGGACGGGAAAGGCACACTTAGGGTGCTGATGGAGATTCGGTTAAGGCAACATCCACATGGATCTGGTGCTTTGGGCCCTGTCTCAGGGCACCCTGACCAGCCTCACCCCTTTCAGGACTGCTTCCAGCCCCCCAGACCACGCCTGGCCCTAATCCACCTCAGCCGCCCCGCTGCCCCGTGCTCTCATTTCTTCGCCCCAGGCGCCCTGGGGTTCCTTCTGCTCTTATTTCTCCCCCTCAAGACCACCCCGCAGCAGCCCCTGACTCCCCGTTCTCCCCTTCGCTCCCAGGCTGCCCCTGACACGTGCGTCCCTCTGTCCCACCTCCCACCGCAGGCAGCCTGCAGCCCATTCCCCACTCCGCCCTCGGGTAGGATACAATACGTGTGGCCGGCTTCCCGGCCTTCTGGCTGTGGGCGCGGGGTGTCCTCCCAGCCCCGGAGAGTGCTGTGGCGGCGCGGCACACAGAGCTCCGTCGTTTGCAGCGGCAGCAGCATCCCCGCTGCGAGGGCCGCCCCGGCCACTCCTGCCCCCGCTGCCCCCCTGGCTGTCCAGGCCTTCAGCGCCGCCCGCCATCCTGCCTGCGCCTGCGTCCGCCTCTGCCGCCTGCATGGCTGCAGCGCGCTCCGCCTCCGACTCTGTCTTCTGGCCGCTGGTCTCCCCATCTCCGCTGTCGGCTGAGAGACAACGGCTCCTTCCTGAAACTCCACCCCCTCGCGCTGACTCCGCCCCGTGCGCCTGCGCAAACAGGTCCCGCTGAGGCCGAGGGGCTGCGTGGTGGCTTCCCGCAGAACCGGCCTGGCTGGGCGTTCTCCAAGACTACCTTGGCCGCAGAGAAACTGAGGCGCCCTCCCAAAGCCCTGGCCCTTCGCAAACTGTGTGACCGATTTTAACTTCCTTTTTCTGTTTTCCTGCAAGTTTTTGACAGTGGCCTTATACGACATTTTTTTTTTTTTTTTTTTTTTTTCTTATACGACACTTTTAATCAAAAATAAGTTTTTAAACTGCCGTGAAATTTCCGATGGTGATAGTCCTGTTAGTTTTCTATTTTCCTACTTTGTAATCATAAGGAAGGGCAAAAAGCTGAACTGGATCACTGAAGCCTGTTGGATCTCCCCGAAAATAAATCCTAAATCACCCCACTTCTCTCCACACAGGAGAATGAGTTCTTAAGCTTTGATATAAATCACATCATATCATGTCCTTGCTTAAAATCCTAAAACAGTTTCCCATTGCCTTTGGAATCAAAACCAAACTCCTTCCTGTGTGACCTGGCTCCCGGCTCCTCCACTCTCTGCCCCCACCTGCCTACTTCCTCACTCTGTGCAGCCTCTAGGGTCTTTCTTTTCTCTGCTCCTGACCAAGGGTGGCCTGCCCCTGTCCCCCTTTGCACTTACTCTTCCTCTTTGGAAGACTCTGTCCCCAGACTCCCGTGGCTGGCTCCTTCTTGTCGTTAAGATGTTAAGATCTTCGCTCCAGTGTCACCTCTGAGAGGCCTTCGGGATCACCAATCTAACATACTACCTCCAGGCACCCTTCATCACATTTGTCCATTTCAGTCTGTTGCCTTTCTAACAATCTGAAATTGTAACTTTGTTTCGTTCACTTCTGTTGATGTACTGTCTCTGGTACACTTTCACTGCAGTTTATGCAGTAGGTGCTTTGCTGCTTGTCGGATGAAACAGTGTATTAAGCAAGTACAAAACTCAGTGTCTTGGGCCTAGCAATGCCACATGTAGGAAGTTACTTCACAAATATGAAACAACATATTTATAAAATTACTCACTGCAATATAACTGGTGATAGAAAACTATTGGACACAACGCACATATCCATCAGCAGGGAACTGGTGAAATCAATTGTGGTTCATTCATAAAATAGTCCTTTTTTTTGTTTGTTTGTTTTGTTTCTTTTTTTCTAATTTAATTTAATTAATTAATTTATTTTTAACATCTTCATTGGAGTATAATTGCTTTACAATGGCGTGTTAGTTTCTGCTTTATAACAAAGTGAATCAGTTATACATATACATATGTTCCCATATCTCTTCCCTCTTTGTCTCCCTCCCTCCCACCCTCCCTATCCCACCCCTCCAGGCAGCCACAAAGAACCGAGCTGGTATCCCTGTGCCATGCGGCGGCTTCCCACTAGCTATCTACCTTACATTTGGTACTGTATATATGTCCATGCCTCTCTCTCCCTTTGTCACATCTTACCCTTCCCACTCCCCATATCCTCAGGTCCACTCTCTAGTAGGTCTGTGTCCTTATTCCCGTCTTACCCCTAGGTTCTTCATACAATAGTCCTAAGCAGCAGTAAAAAGAATGAAAATCTCTAATGAAAAATGAAATGATTTCCAGGATATATTGTTATATGAAAATATGTAAAAAGCAGGGTGCAAACGACAACTGCACACACGCTCACAGACACACATGCTTATTGGGGGAAAAAAATATAAGGAGGATGGAAAACCCTGAAACTAGTGAAAATTATCACCTATAGGGGGTTGGGATGGGTATGAGATTTCTTGTAATATATCCTTTTGTATAGTTTTGACTTTGAACCATGCAAATATTTTATATGTTCAAAAATACATTTGAGGGACTTCTCTGGTGGTCCAGTGGTTAAGACTCTGCGCTCCCGGGCTTCCCTGGTGGCGCAGTGGTTGAGAGTCCGCCTGCCGATGCAGGGGACACGGGTTCGTGT